GCGCACAGGTAATGATCACTGATACTTCTATCTCCCCCGGCGACAAGACTGGCGATGGTTATTCCCGTTACGTATTCCTCTCGTAGATCCGAGAAGTTTGCCACGATGGCGACCAGGACGAGGCAGGAATATCTGAAAGATCTCGCCACCAATTATTCTTCGACCGCGGTGGTCGACACCGGGCAAAAGTTTTGTAAGTAACACATCTCGACCCAGTCCTCGACCCCTTCACCTCGTCGTCCTTTCGAACGAGCAATCCACGACTTGTGTTCTCGTACAGCTATGCTGTCGTTCAGCAGCAAGAAGAAGACGGCGGTTCGACCGAGATTGTCGTGCGACGCCATGCAACGCGGAGCTATATGCTGGCAGGTGATACTGGAGGACAGCAATCAGAACACGGATTGTTATCTGGGAGTAAGCGTAGACACGATCGTGCTGATCGAGGAACACTCGAGACAAATCGTGTTCGTCACTCCGTGCGTGAGCGTGCTCGGATGGCACGCCCAAACGAACAGGTGCGTTGCTCCTTCGATCCCTTTGCACTCCACACGCATTGCACACATGAATTTCTTAGATGATTATAATAATGATTTCGCGTGTGAAACTTTTGTATTTTAACATCTCGCCTATCTTTGCGTATTCGGAAAATCTATATTCTTGTGCAACGTTTTAATAATAAATTCGTAAGAAATGCGTGCTTGGCAAATCTCTCTATTCTCAATGAATAGAAATTCGTATTTAACAACGAAAAATCGTGCTTACAAAAAATAATATTTCAGCCAGACAATTGGACACTACGAAAATGTAGTTCGATCTGATTTGAGATTAAAAAAAAGTCCAACTTACTCGACAGCATATTATTCCACACGCTTTATACGTAAAAAGAGGTTGGAAATTTATTCGTGTAGCGACGTTTTAAAAATCGTTGTTGGAAGGGTTTCAATCTTGTATATGGAAACGCATTGACTAATTCAATTGGTTTTCCAGCTTGAGACTGTACTATCATCAAGGGGAATGCATTACGATCCACGTGCGCGGCGATTACGGTGAAAGGGACGAATTAATGGAGATAGTGGCTCGGCTGCGCGCCGTCACGCCAGGAGCCCCAGCCACCGAGCTATCCTTGAAGAGGAACAGCTTGGGACAATTGGGATTTCACGTTCAACCGGATGGAGTGGTGACGCAGGTCGAAAGTATGGGGCTCTCGTGGCAGGCAGGGTTGAGGCAGGGATCTAGGCTCGTCGAGATCTGCAAAGTAGCTGTGTCCACTTTGAGCCACGATCAGATGGTCGACTTGTTGAAAACGAGCGCCCAGGTCACTGTCACCGTGATACCGCCTAATAACGATGGCAATCCAAGGAGGTAAGACGCGTCGTCGTTCGAACGATTGTCGACTTTTGCTTATAAATTTTCTCGCCGCGAAACAGAGGCTGTACGCTGCAGAATTGCCAATACTTGTCGAGCAATTACGAGGGGGATTACGAGAATGTAACCAGTCCGGATAACACGCCGACTCAGCAGGCAGCTATGTCCCATCAGAAACGGTACGAGAGATCTTTCAGCCCGCCACGGTCGAGCAACAGTTCCGGTTACGGAACAGGATCCAGCTCCAGATCGTTCAACGATCCGCGTTTTCCCATGGAAGGCACGATGACCAGCAGTAGCAGCGGGCACAGTAGCAACGAAGACCGTTGGTAAGAAGATAACGTAGTTACTTTTCACAGTGTTGATTACTTTTTTAAAAAATTAAAAAAAAATATTTATTGGTGTGGATCAGGTACGAGCTGTTGGAGCCGCAAGATCAGGAAAGTAGCGGGTATCGCGCCAATGGCGGCACTCCCCCACCACCGCTCCCAGCCAGGCAATCGTTTCAGATGATCGGTCCGAAATCTTGTCAGAAGAAGGAGAAAGAGTCGCATTACGCGAGCGCTAAACAATTTTCCGAGAGTTCGAAGCACCATGGCCACGATCATTATCCTACGAAAGAGGGCAATTACGTGTCATCGAAAGTCGTACAGGATAACATGAGACACGAGAATTATCAGAGGCAATTGGACAACGCCCATCGTAATCAGGATCACGTCTCCACCAATTACGTGAAGCTTCAAAAGGAGAAATACGAGATGAAGCAAGAAAACTTGTACGCGTCCCAGAGGGAGCTTCAAAAGAGCGATATGCATTACGTGACTCACCAAAAGCTGAGCGCGTCCAACTCTTTACCGTTAGCTCAGAACGCAGCTTACAGCCTTCCAAAGTCTAGCAGTAATAACAATCTCGGTAGATGCAACGAAGTGTACGAGCACGAAGGACAGAAACAGGAGAGAAATTCGAAGTACGAAGTGGTCGGGCAGGATGAAAAATTGTTGGATAGAAACGCGTCGTGTAAATACGAGCAAGATGTAAGGGGCCACGAGGCTAAAAGAGGGTCGACGATCAATTACGATTATCCCGAGGAGATATACGAGAGACGGAACAGCAAATACGACATGGATGTGTCGAATAAGTACGAAATCGAGTGTCAACACAATATCAACGAGAGGAAACACGGCGAGAATCAAATTGAATCGAATCGGGACTCCTCCATACGATACGATTTGCCGCACGAGTTCAAAGTTGGGGAGAAGGTTACGTGTTTGAAAACAACCATCACCGAGAGGCCCGTCCCTCACAAGATAAACATCGAGTATCGCCAAACGAAAGAGTTCGCAGCAAGCCTCCCCCCCGAAATGAGAATCGTCGATGTCAATTGTCCGGAGGTTGCTACGTTACCGAGCGAGGATGAATTGTCGAACGGATCCGGAAGCGTGTCGCCCCGGCTGAGAAGAGCGAACAAATCGCACCGTGGTGGAAATCTAACACCTTCGAGCGGTGGTTCGAGGAATCAGAGCCCGAGACCGAAGCCGGGCGTACGAAATTCGCACAGGAATTCGGCGAATTTAACGTCGAGCACGCTTCAGGAAGATCTGATGAAGCTGATCAATCCCGATTACATCGGCGACGACGATCAAATAATAACGAATAACAACGTGACAGGGAACGCGCTGATCACCAATCAGAATCCGAACAAGATGAACAACAACAACATGCTCGAGATACAGAGCAGGTGCAGGTCGAGAGAGAATTTGTGCGGTGGTAATGGGAACGCGTTGACAGTGTTGCCAGCCAACGGTCAGGAGAACGGCAACACTGGATCCGAAGTGATCTTGACGATGGCTAGACCAGCAACGGTTATTTCGAATGCGAGCACAGCGTCGAGCCCCGCGCCGAGCGAGAACAAATTGTCGAAGGAAGAGAGGTAAGAGAGGTAGTTTGATATATACTTTGTATATATCTTGTGCAAAGATGTACAAGTCGATCTTGGAGCTTTCCTTTCCTATGGAATACACATGTGCGTGTGTTTTGTGTGTAATCTCTTTAATTTAGATTGTCACCGCGCGTTACCAAACCTTCCCAATCGATTTCCAAAGCATCGACCAACTTGACACCGTCCATCAAAGACGTCGCGAAAAATCATAACGATACGGACTGTGATGTGGACCGTTGGCCACAAATTCACCACGTGGATTCTAGATCGAAGCAGCACGCCCAAGAATGGCCCGACGAGAGACTTATCGATGGATGCAATACCATCGCGTAAGTTGGCGACGCGATCTGCAATTACCGTGCCACGACATCGAAATATTATTAATTATTCTATCCCGCGTTCTCTCTCTTTCGAAGAGACTCTACACGATTCGTTTCGATGCTATTTCTTCCCCCCCCCTCCCCCCCTGCAATATCGATCGATCGTCTTCTCTGTGTTTCAGAAATTCCGTGTCGGATTTGCAATCTCATTTGTCCACCCTTGAACTGAGAGTAGCCAGAGAAACTCGTCGAAGGCTTTCCTTAGAGGACGAAGTGCGTCGTTTGCGGGACGAGAACCGACGTCTACAGGATGAGAGTCACGCGGCTGCGCAACAACTTCGACGTTTCACCGAATGGTTTTTTCACACGATAGATCATCAATAACCTCCATAACAACAAATATCGTAATTCGAAGACAATCGTTCGAACATGGAGCACATGGAGCTTTCTTTTTCTTGATTTTTTTTTTTTCTTCTTCTACAATTCATCGTTCTAAAATTACAATCATTTTGTTTTTTCTTCTTTTTCTTTCGTAAGAGCAGTATTAGTTTCGCGTTTTCTCGAGCATCGACTATTGCGTATTCTCTTAGAGATTAAGAGGCGAATAAAAAAAAAAAGGAAGGCAATTCTAAAATCATTGCACGTGCATACGCGTTAATGTGAATTCTCAAGTATGTAATATACGTGTAATGCGCATTTATTCGCGATATCATCACGAGCATTCATGCTCGGTATTTTGTATTATAGATGTTGCTTTAAGGTAGCTAATAAGGATACAATGTAAGTTACCATCGTGTCACGTTCCATCGAACTCTCCATTATATATAATGTTTAAGAAAAAAGAAAAAAAAGTAGCGTGTAGATGAGAGTAGCCAGCTGTTAGAAAGTTGACTCAAAGAACGTTGCTTTGTTCACGATGCGCGTTGATCACGATTACATCTCACTTCAAAAAAAAAACGACCAAATATTGTTAGTTGTTTAAGAATCACTTTAATTCATTCGTAATTTATTACGTATTTTTTTATATCATCGTTAAAGGATTAAAGGATCGTTCTCGTGCGAATTGAAACATTCCTCGGTTACGGAAATGCGACGCCTTTTGCGAACCTGCCTTGGCCGAACGAGACTTAAACGTGTTCGTTAAATTGGGAAAAGAAAAAGCATCTTCTTCGCAACTAGATAAAGACGTGATCCGTCGGTAAAGAAGTGATAAAGTGTAAAGCGATTAGACGAAAATCGATCAATAAAAAGAAATGCACACCTCACGTGAGAGAGAGAGGAAATGTTTATTTTTACATTTGATAAATTGAAATTAAGGATCCATGCAAAAATGAGAAATCTTCAGGAAGGGAGGGAGAAAGATCGTGAGATGGGAATGTATTTCAATGATAATACAACACGTAGAATAAAATAGTTTATTGTAATTCACAGAAGAAAAAAAAAAAAACAAGACATTTTCACGATGCCTGAAAACTCACTGTTCTGTATCAGGTTAACAATAGCTGTGTGATTACACTCTTTTTCCTGTTCGGGATCAACGGAAACGCGCGCGCGAGACGCGCGCGTTTGTGTATCATGAACGTAGAACGTCGAGGTGAACAATACAGATCATATTCCGACCATATAATCTACAGTAAAATTCTTTTTCTTTTTATACGATAATTCGCTCTTTAAACAGCTTGTAACAGATTCTGTTTTTTTTTTCTTTTTTTTCTTTTTCTTTTTATTTATTTATTTATATTGTATGTATATTTATATATATACATGCGTGCGTAATATTTATATCAGAATACCCGTCTGTCTGGAAGGGGAAAAAAAAAAAAAAACTCGTAACCGCAATCTCACGCGATAATACACGATCATCGTACACGTCGGGAAGCGATGAATCGTGACCGTCCCTTTCCGCCTTACGAAATTCGTACGAAGGTGAACGAGGTGTCGTATCGCGCTATCCGCTTACAATTAGCCGGTCTACTCGACTCACGGCTAAATTTCGTCACGATGCTCGAATTGCAAACACGTTGGAACGTGCCTTACACAGGCACACTTTGATAATTTTCTTTCTTTTTATTAATCGCTCCTCACGCCTCACGCGTCGTACCTTATCCCGCCTCGCCTCGCCTCGCCTCGTCCCACTGGCCCACTGACATTACATCCTCGATACTTTTCTAAATCTAATCTCGACGAATGGCATTATACGTATCAAGATATCTTTCGACGATTCATTCGCTTCTTAAGTACTCTTACGTAAATATATTATATAATATGAGCGGCAAATGCAATTAGCTTAGTAGTGCGATTCAATCTTTCAAATGGATTTTACCGTTTTCGTGTTAACAGAGCGCAGCGTCCCCTCGTCGCACGCAGGTAAAAGTAAAACTCGATGGATGAAAAGCAAGAGAGGCAGGCTCGCTTCGCTTATCGGAGAAATCGAGCACGAAATCCACGCGAAAAATTCTCCTCGTTGCGTTCTTCCGCGTTCCCCGCCATAATCGAATTGAAAATATTTACGATTCGTTTGATCTCGTTTCATCGAGCACAATATGCAATATATATATATATATACGGTCTCTCGATAACGTGGTTAGAAAAAAAAAATATTTCCCATTCTCTTTTCGTTTTACTTGTTCTCCGTGTCCGCGATAAGCTTTGATCAATGGTATGTAACGAGACAAGGATGAGAGAAATAACGACAGGACGAAAAATATATATAGCGACGAGTCGTTCTTCTGACGTTATTATGGCACTAAAGACGAAGATATCGTTTTATATATCGAGGAAGAATAAACTTACGCTATCACCCGTTCCTTCTTTTCTATATTCCCAATATTTTGCTACTTTCCAGTGGAAAGAAAGCGGAGAGAAATCTAAAATTCTATTCGCGCAACGTTTGACAACAGGATTGACGCGCGATTCTTTCGTAATTATTGATCAAGGAGGGAAGAGGGGTCGAGGGAACCCGAAAGAAGCAGAGAGAAATTCCAGTGCAGAATGTATCGAGATGACGAGACGGAACAGCGAGCAACGTTGTTCTCGGTTCGTTCTCAATCGAGCCGATACGCGGCAGCGTAGCGAAACACGAACAGAGGCGGAGGTTAATGCAGCGTGTGTACAAGTGTGTTTCCTTCGTTTCTGGATAAATCGAAAATCATGAAATCGCGTCCATATTGCCAATGGATAAAATAAAAATGGACGAAGACGTGATCAGCGGCGGCACGCTTCGTCGATTTCCCTCCTTTCCTCGATCTTACTTTTCATTCTATCTCTTTGTATGATTTACTTTTCTCTCGCTTCTTTGTTGACGCGTCGTTTCTCAAATTTCAGTTCCTTCGAGCATGCGGTAACCGTTACCGTGACACTGAAACGGATATATTGCAAAAACTTTGATCCCCAAACGTTTGAATATTACGAATAATATTTTGGAGAGAGAGAGAGAGTATACTTCTGCGCGACCATAGCTAATACAAAAATACTGTTCTGTTGCGCCATTTCTTCTCCAACTATTCCTATTATTTTTATGCATAATAATAATCCCTGTAGTCTTTTCAAATCTTTCATTATCGCAGTTAAGAAAACAGGAAAAGAAAAAAAAGGAAAAAAAAAAATAAAAAAAGAAAACAACTAGACACA